AGAACATCTTAGAAATCCACGTGGTCATACTTCCAGCATAAATGAAAATTCAGCTGCAGACATCCAAAGTGTGAATCATAGATATCTGCAGCTAAATTATGACCAGTTATACTTCCAGTACATGTCCTTTAATTCTGACTAGTCATAATTCTAGTTGAAGATATCTTTAATTCCACTTCAAGATGTCAGCATCGTCCTTTCTGTCTGTATCTGTTGTATATTATATCTATGTATCGATGTTTTTCCTCGTCAGAAAGAACATTTTGAGCATCCACATCATCATTCTTCCAAGACAAATTACATCACTATTCATGTGTTTCTCATTACAGACGTCTACAGTTCACCTTCACATATCTGCAAATCGGTCATTACCGACGCTGCAGCTCTCTGTAGTTATGTCAGAAGCAACGATGAGTCGGAGACGCCGTGTCTTTTTAACATACAAAGGCGCCGCAAACGTAACTGCATAATAAGCCGTTTGAGGCCAAAGTTCAGGAACGTTTCAATCACAAGTCTCTAATAAGCGAAGCTCTCATTCTCCACAAACTCCTCGCTTCTGCTAACACCGCTCAAATGATCTGCTAGACCAATATCATACAAAATTCTAATGACTTTAGAGGTGGGGGTGTCCCTGAGCCGGATCCTAAATAAACCTACGGTCAGTTTTTGATTTACAGTTGTCATGTGGAAAAGTAATGAAAAAAAAATATTGACATCTGAGGAACACTGTGCTAGCTTATCCCAGCTAATTTAGCATGCAGTTGCAGGCCTGATGTCGCTAAGCCTTGTAGCAGTCTTTGTCATGGTGCTCCTTTACCATGGTGCTCCTTTACCATGGTGCTCCTTTTGGTTTCACTAAAGTATTAAACAGTAAGAGGCTCCACCTGGTGGTACAAGCAGGTACTACGGCTTATTTTACAAAACTTGAAAGGAAAGTAGTGTTGGGTTTCGGCAGACACTAACTTGATTGCATCAGTAGCAACAAAATAAATAAAAATTCAGAGGTATCTGCAATAGTAGTCGATTATTGTGACAAGTCCAAACAGAATTACAGACATCTCTTACTGTCCCTTTGACTGGTCAGAATGGTGGTCAAATTCCAGCTAGTCAAAATGACGTCAGTATGTTATTTCAAATCCGGAAAGTGAAACTCAGCTATGAAATGCTAAAAATGGTTTGCCATAGCAGAACAGTTATAGGAGGTTGGTATGTACGAACACTAATGATCCAGAGACAGAAGAGCAAAGGGAGGAAGATGGAGGAGCTGTCGCCATGACAGTGTGCTGCTATATGAGGAATATACAGCGCCTCCTTTTTTTAAATTTTTTTTTTTTTTATTTAGCCCAAAGCAGAACATTTAGTCAGACACATCCTGTTATCTCGCATCTAACAGCATTATCTGCACACACAATCTGTAATCCCTCACACCCTCCGCTATTGTAAAATCCTCCCATTACCACAGAACTGCTGTTGATTTTAGCCTGCTTCCTGCTGTTGGGGTGCGTTGGGCTTTGTGTGTCTGTGTTAGTGTGCGACATAAAGTATTCCAGTATCGCCCAAGGAAAGAATTAAGATGTAACAGCGTGCAGCAAATTTGTGAAACCTGCTAACGTACATACATCATCTCCTCTCGTGTTTACGCTCACATGACCAGACAGCCCTGGAACTTAGAATCACTTTATGCGAGTCCGGCCGCGAAGGCTTAACTCCGTATGAGCACAAATAAACAGGAATTGTGGGTTTATGAAGCAGATTTAAAGAGTTTGCACATGATTCATATGTGAAATTTAAAATAAAAATGTATAACAAAACTGAAATTGAAAGATTTTGCACAGACTTTGAGTTTTTGCACAACTTGCCCTGTAGCATCTGCTTATTTCTATGAAGTTATAAAACTATTCTACATCAAGACATGTGAATTCCTGTGCTTTAGGTATGACATTTTCTATTTTATCTTTGATAATCACACAATAATGTATCAGTACGACTTCTTTTTTTTTGTAAGATAGCATCTCTGCATCAACTTAAAGAAAAGATTTTGCCTTGATGCTTCCTTTTGTCCCAACAATGGCTTCTTTCAGAGGAATCCAAGGCTGTGCAGACATTCACCACCCAGAAAAGGATCTTAAGGTATTTTATTTGTGGACAGTTATCAAACCTAAACTATTCCGAAAGAAGGTTTTTAGGATTTCTTTCTCAGCATTTTTTTATTATATTTTTTCTGCCTTTTCAGTGTTTCTACCTTCTCTGAACTTTGAATTATGAGCTTTTCAGGTTCAAAAAAAAAAGAAGACGAAGAAGCTTTGTTGCCTGGAATGAATTAAAGTTTTTCTCCATAAATACAGATCAGAAAGCCCAACTGTGTAAGCCCCAGGATTGCATTTAAGACTCACATTTTCAGCACAGCATGGGGCACATGCACCTCGTTCCAGGATATGAATGGAGCAAACGGCATCTCAAGCAAAAGTGTTTCTCATTGTCTGGTGGAATAGACCTTTACAATGTTCTCAAATTTTCAATCTGTCAGTGTGTTGAGGTAACAGTTGCCCTCCATTACATCAGGAAGCAGCTAGCCTACCACAAGGGGCTTTTTCTGAGTTCTCACGCAGCACATAATGCTAAATTGATTCAGCAGGAATGTCAAAAGAGAGGTGTTTAAGGTGAGTAGTGTTACTGCTGCGGCTGCTGCTTTCGCAGTCTAATTTATTGTGGGGGTCTCTGGAGGTTTACAAGTAGGCTACAGTATCAGCAGCGCCGCTGTCTGAGCAAATGTCAACGTTTTTCAGAGAAGAGTTTTAAAAGAAAAGAAAAAAAAGGTGATAATAAATAACTTGTTCTCCACACTTCTTGCTAATTGCTAGAACATTAAGGCATATCTTGACAAGCAGAAACCCGGCTTATCTCCACAGATTTCTCCGTTTGGTTTGCGGTTTCTGTCTCGTGCCGCTGTGACGTTCTAATGAAGCATCGAGCTGAAGTCTGCGCTTCCCTCGTTCGCTTTACTGTAGCTGTGCTATGATGAAATATGGAGCCAGATTACAGGAGAGTTTTTGATGCACTGACTTGCAAACTTCACAGCTGCAAGAAAACAGAACAACAGGCACGAAAAGCCCACAAGCGCTCATAAACACCAACAGAAAGCTCCAGGTCATGTGTGGGAGAGAAAGGAGGGCAACCTTAAATGCCGTTATTAAAAGTTTACATTTTGCAGCAACAAATCACTCTTTGTTTAAAGAGTCTGCAGGACTGGCTTTTTATAGTTTATTATTTACATTTCAGTCTCTGTTACTGAACCTTGTTGATCAGCTGCAAAAATTAAGTTTTGTTGGTCTTGTTTGTCAAAGTAGTGCTGAGCTTTCGTCACCGTTGGACTCACATGCTAACATAAATCTGCTTTCAGCCTCTGTTGTGCACTGAACAAACAAACGTAGAAATCCTGGCTGTCTTTGGTTTGACTTTAGTAGCTTCACACAGCAGCAGGATCCAAACTGTCATAGTGATCATATGTAGTTTTACTCACCTAAATGCTGCAAACAGAGAAGAGTTTGTTTTTACAGAGAAATTATCGCCCGCAAAACGGCCGGATTCTGGATTTTTCTGGTGTA